AGGAAGAAATTAAGAGCAGGTTGAGACAAGGGAAGATTAACAGCTGCAAGCGCTGACCCTGGCTTGGATAACCAAGGTACAACGCTTGTGCGATTTAGCAAGCTCAGCACTGTTTCGAAGTTAGATCTAGTCTGGCTTAGTTACAAAGGCTCCCAGGCAGAGGTACAATTCAGAACGGGATCAATATCCTCTTCAGAAATTTCAGAACTATGTCTACGTGACGAGATCTCCACCGGGAGGAGGTACGCAAGGCTACCAGAAAACACAGGATAAAAGCAAAAGGCCAGACTCATGCACAGCCAACAAATATTTACTGGGAGTCTGCTGAATGCCTGACACTTGGCCAAGCTTTGGAGATATGGTGAACAAAAGACATGGCCCTGAATCACAAAGTGTGACAAGAGCTATGCAAAAAGAACAGGAGTTCTGAGAGACCTAACTGAGAGTGGATGGGGGTAGATCATATTTCCAATATGGACGAAGTCATATTTCCAATATGGACGAGGTCATATTGGAAAGCCTCTCTGAGGGAATGACAATTTAATCTGAACCTGAAGTTAGGTGGGTGAAGAGTAGGGGGGAGCAGCAGCGGAACAGCCCAAGCCAGTAGAGTAGAATATACAAAAACCTTAAGGGTGGAAAAGGCTTGGATAATTCCGGAACTGAAGGGAAGATTGTGCAGTTAGTCAGAAGGTCAGAAAGGAAGAAGGGGTGTAAAAGAGGTGAAAGAAGGTGGGAGAAACACGCAGAGCCTCATAAGATAAAAAATAAAATCCCAAAGTGGCCTGAGTGCAATGGGAAGTCATGGAAGGGTTTTGACCCCAGAAGTGGTGTGATCCTAAAGGGGTTCTAAGTGCTCCAACTACCTAGGCTCCGCTCAGACCACTGAATCTGGGCGAGCGTGGCAGCAAATGGGCAGGAGCGAGTATTTGTAGCTGAGTACCAGGATTTCAGGTCTGGGATAAGAGAGTTTATTATACAGCCCTCCAAATGCTCCAGGTTTGCAAACTTGGGAGAATGATGGCACCACTGAAAATTGCAGAAAAATCTGATAGAAGAGCTGATCTGCAAGGCATTAGTCAACTTTAAACATACTGAGTATGAAAGACTAGTCCAGATTTCAGCAGGTAAATATGGACACTGTTTTGGAGTGTAGAAGAGAGGTCAGGCATGGATACGTAGGTTAGTACATATAAAGGTGATATGTTTAAGAACCAAAAGTAAATAACATTTACAACGAGTAGAGAAAGAGAAACAACAACAACAAAAGGAGCCCGAGACTGATCCTTAGTGTCTGCTTATCTCTGGGACAGAGGTCAGGAAAGAAATGATGCCCAAAAAGGTAAAAAGGCCAGTATGATGTTAGAAAAAAAAACAAATAAATAAGAAGTTAGAGTTAAGAAAGGGATAGTCCAAAAGGATAGCACAAGGGAGTTTTTTGGGGGTGACGGAACTGTTCTGTATCCTGACTCTGGTGGTGGTTACATGAATCTACACATGTTAATGTTCACAGAACTGTACACACACACACAAAAGTCAAAGTTACTGTTTATTATCTTAAAAATAAAAAATTTCAAAGGTGGGGGGGAGTCAAAAGGGTTAACTGCTGCGAGGAGAGAGAATAGGATGAAGCCTGAAAAGATACTGTGGGAAATTCAACCATTAGATAATTGGCAACCTCGGAAAAATCGTCATTGAGTAGTGAGGTTAGGAGCCAGGCTGCACAGGCTTAAAGAATGAGGAGTGAAGGAAAGGAAGCAGTTAGTATAGTCTCCTCTTTCAGAACTCCGTAGGTGAAAGGAAGAAAAATCAGAATGGCACTGTAGGCTCAAACAGGAAAGTACAACTGAGAGATATAACAAATTGGCAGAATTTTCTGAGACCCCATGAGTTGCTCCACTTAAGTATTCTCCTAAAACCTACATTTAGCACAGGAACTATTATTCACTTTCTTATTGGCACTGTAGGCTCAAACAGGAAAGTACAACTGAGAGATATAACAAATTGGCAGAATTTTCCGAGACCCCATGAGTTGCTCCACTTAAGTATTCTCCTAAAACCTACATTTAGCACAGGAACTATTATTCACTTTCTTACTGTCTCATTAAACTAAAACTGCACAATTCAACTACTAAAATAAACCCACAGACTTTACATTTTAAACTCTTTTCCTTAGTCAACTAACATTTACTGTGCCCCTACTATGTGCCAAGCATCATGCTGGATACAAAAATGATAATGCCTGGTCCCTGGAAGAGCACACAGGATTTATTACAATAGCAGGGATCAGAGATCTGCATGGAGTCTGAAAGCCTTGACCTTTGAACTAAAATACATTTTTTTATCTTCATAAAAATCAAACGGAGGAAATAAAAATAAAGTTTAGACACACTTTTGTAAAAATGTTCTTAATTTCTAAAAACCAAGAAAGAGCTTAACTGAACATTAAATTCTTAAGTTAGATAGGGCCAACCTAATCATCAGTGGCTTTCTCCTTTTCCATTCCTTTCTACTGTCCAGTGTTCTTTCCGCCTTTCTTCCTCTGGATAATTTAGGAGGCAAAATGAAACAAGCACAGGCTTTGAAACCAGACGAACTTGAGATTAAACCTGTGCCCTAGAACGTTCTAGATGTGTGGCTCTTGAAGGCCCTTTTTCTCATCCATAGAGCAGTAATGACACCTTCCCCATAGGTCTGAGATAAAGATTAGGGTAAAAAATGCCGAGGCTGGCATATGGTAAGCATGCAATAAATGTTAGCTAATAATATTACTGCCATCTGAACAAACGATATTGTTCAAACTAATTTTAAAACATTTTAAAGTGCTTCCATTCAAATGAGGAAAAAATTTTTTTTCAAGGGCACGACATTTATATACTACTATAGAAACGCAGCTTGGGAATTTCTTCTCTTTAAGTCCTATCAGAAACTACTCTGGGGGCCGGCCCGGTGGCGCACTGCTACAGTGCGCCGCTTGGGAAGCGCGGTGGCGCTCCCGCCGAGGGTTCGGATCCCACATACAGACCGGTTCCCGCTCACTGGCTGAGCGAGGCACGGGAGCAACACCGAGGGTTGTGATCCCGTTGCCGGTCCTAGTCCGGTACGGGGGCGACACTGAGGGTTGCGATCCGTTGCCGGACACGGAAAAAGACAAAAAGGAAAAAAAAAAAAGAAACTACTCTGCTCAAATAATGTTTGGGACAAGCACTTAAAAAAGACCAAGAACTAAGAAAATACAAAGGCACCGTTATTATCATCACCGCATCCCAAGTGGGACAAGCCAGTCTGATTGGTGTTCTGGATACCTGATCATGTGCTTTAGAGCAGATACGTACTATATTCATATCCTTCCTGTTACCTACCTACAGCGATACCATTGTAGAATTGCAAGACGATGTGCTAAAACTTCTACTCTTTGAGACAGACATTCACACAACAGCACCAAAAATACATATAGAGTTTCAGAGCCAAGATCACTGATGCTTCTCCAAATCAATAGGAAACTTATACTACTGAAATTTCTCACCACGAAGAGAGATAACCTTTACTACTTAACTTTCACGAAATGCTAAAATGGTACACCTTATTTCTATATGCTTAACTGTTGGGGGCACTAATGATGTTTTATTCACTGACTCTTGGTTTGTTTTATTCACTAACTATGGAGAAATATCTCTGGCCAATTTTGTTGTATAATTTTGCTTATATTGAAAAACAAATGACCAACTTAAAATTCACCTTATCCCGCACTCAATCTCTAGCACAGATGCTAAAAAGAAAAGAGCCAAAATATACATGAGAAAGCAAGGGACAACAAGTCCCATACTGGTAACCCATGCCCAAAAAATTAAGGATGGGCTAGTCCTTGAGGCGCTTGACAAGAGGCTACCGTTACTACGTGTCTTTAGCCACTATTATCGCATTTCGCTGACTCGGACATTTAGCCACTATGGGCTAATAAATCCGCCAGTTTGAAACTAAAGGGCACCGGACCCGGGGAAGGGGGAAAACACTCCCCGGGGCTCTTTCGTCCGCTGTTACTCCCCCTGCCCTCGTTTCCCTGTCGAAAGTCAGAATCGCCTCCCCAAGCGTCCACACACGCAGGGCTCTGGGGGAGGGGTGCGGGAACCCCCGCCCGAGTTAGGCGGGGGAGGACACTCGCTCTATCCAGCAGGACCTGCACACAAGGCAGGGACGCGGCGCAGGGACGGGAGGCTGACTGCTATAAATTACTCACCAATCCTTGTACTTATTCTTACCTGGTTCTCTCTCCAGCCTCTTCAAACACTATTCCACACCTTTACCACTCTCCTCAGTCCCCTCTCAATCCCAAACCTTTTCACTTTCAGCAGACAATGCTGTCTAATTTCAAGAGCTGGCTGTTTGCCAGATCACCTAGCACAATGCTCTCAATCACTAACAAAAAAACCCTTATCTATACCAATATCCATCTTTACTTCTATCCTCCAGTCTCAGATGATGAGTTGCCCCTCCTCTTGCCTGAGGTTAACTCACCCAAAAGGACTCTGACCCATCTCTTCCCACCTCTTCCAGGAACTTGCTTTATAAGGCACACACCCTTGGGCAAGTTATTCATCTCTCTAAACCTCAGTTTCCTCATCTGTAAAATGGGATAGCAATACCTACGTCAGAGGCTTATTTTAAGAATTAAATGAGATAACATTTACCTAATTCTTGGCATAATGCCCAACAGAGTAAATACTCAATAAATGTTCACTGCTATCATCATTACCATCACCACGTAAATCTCCTTTCTCTACATCAATTTCTCTCTATGGGGTTCTTTCTGGTAGAGGCGATGCCTAAAATGTTATTCGAGCGCTCCCTCACGAGGACACGCACACGCCGCGCCACAGCTGGCCAGCCCGGGCCGCGCCGCGCGCCCCCGCGGGCGTCCTCGCCCACCCCCGGCCTCCCCGATCCGACCCGGCCGTGCGCGAAGGAGACTAAGGGCGGCGCGGCCGTCGGTCTTCACTCACCGCCGAGCAGTGCCGGCTCCGAGTGCGCGGCGTTCCGCTGTGAGGCGAGGCGATGAGCGCGGTCCCCGCTTCTCCGCAGGCTATGGAGGCGACGTCGTACAGGGATAGAGGAGCACGGGGGTCACTCCCTCCCGCTTCGCCTCCCAGAAGCACCAGGACCCCAGAAACTAAAAACAAAATAAACAAACTTTCCCCTCCGCCTCCCTCCCCCAAACCACAACACAAACACTCAGGGACCCGCCCAGAGCCCCACTCCATTGGCTGCAGGGTGGATGCTTCCGGTTCTCACTGGCTGAATTCTGCGCCCGTCAAGCTGCTGTTCCGCCCCTCCGATTCCTCGCCGCTGTCGTTGCCCCTCATTGGTTAAGTGCTTCCCGTTTGACGAGCCAGGATTGGCTGAGCTGCCTGCGCCAATCATGCGGAGACACACCCCTTGAGCATCCCAGAGGCCGCTTCCTCGGTCGCGGACCCAGAGAGGCCAAGGGGAAACTAGAGCATGATGGCGGCCAAGCTGGCTTGGCGCAACCATCGTCTTTTTTTCTTTTTTAGCTCATTAGGGCCTCGCCCCGGCGCCGTTTCTCCTAAACCTCTCTGTCCATCCAGTACTGCCTAATAACGGAATCTATGCGTGCCGGCTCCTTGATTTATCCCCTCCGAAGTGCTGAGTGTGGGCTGGGTGTGCGTCATTGGACTGTGAGGATGTCACTCCCGAGTCACATCTTCCAACTATTGGTGGAACAGCAAGAAAGCCGGTCCAGCAACAAGGGCTGATGCCATTGGTGTGACTCCACTGAGCTCTCTCCCGGTACCTTACTGGGCAGATGAGTGCGTCAGTCAGATCCGGGTTCGCTCTGCTACACGGTTAATTGTTCATTGGGGAGTTGGGGTCGAGTCTGGTTCTTTGTCAAGTAGTTAACGATAATGATGACTCCCATTTATTGCGCGCTTACTTTCTGCCGAGTGCTGCGCTGAGTTCTTTACGGAGCTTGTCTAGTTAAACCTGTGAGTTATACCGTATCTTATTTTTGCAGATAAGAAACTAAGGCTCGAGAGAGAGGTTAGGAAGCTCGCCCAAGGTCATCCAGAGGGAAAGTAGTTGGTGGGCCCGTCATTCGGTCCTAGGCCTGATTCCAGAGCTTCAGTGACTCTCCCTTGGCCCAGAATCCTTATCTGTCAGTCAACCCAACATCTTAAAAACGTTTCATTCGGAACCCAAGTTCCTCAATCAGTTTCTGGAAGTGACATAGTTGGAAGCTAACTATGGAGAGGTTGTCATCGCTTTCACCGCATCTTCCCCTCCCCCCCCCGCCCCCAGCACCCATTCCTCTCCACCCTAAATTCAACAATCTGTGTAGATGTAGAGATGGGCTTTTGGTCAGGAAATATTCTCAGCTTTAATAAATGGACATTTCTACCATCCTGTGTGCCCACCCCCCACCCCCAACCATCCATCTCCAGCTCATTCTTCGGAGAGAGTCAAGAGCCAGAAACGAGGAGAAGTAGTCTAAAGAGAGATAATGAATAAATCGCCTCAGAAATAAATAATTTATTGCATGCAAAGGGAACGGTCCCTTAGCTCCTGGAAAGCTTCCCGAGTAGCTGATGCTGAGCAAGACGTATGCTCCTGGCTCGTGGCCACTGGGTTCTTTCTCTGTGGCAGCTTTCATTGAGATGATTCCGACATTTTAGCCAGGCAGGGCAGAATGCTTAGGACGCACTGCTAGAGTGCTAGCCCCGAGCCTCTGGGACCGAAATGATCTCCAGGAGCACAGTGCTGGATTCTAGCCCGCATTCCGTCTCGGGTAATTAACATTTTACCATTCCAAATCCCCATCCCCTGTAGCTTCAGAGGGATCACCGCCCTTGTTTCGCTTCCTGATCCAAGCTGTTGTGTAACCTCCTTGGCACTGCTTTAGTAATAAAACAACCATTGTAACACAATAACAATGCTCAATACTTAGAGCCTTTCAGCATAGGAAAACAAGGTATTTCACAAACATCAATTAAGAGTAAATGGCCTGTATTCCTAGGGAAACTGCAAGAAGAAAGTCGGAAGAAAGATCATGAATAAAATTCTAATAAAGATTTCTAGAACCTGAATCCTTACAACTCTATTCACCTACCTGACACTAACATTCCAATATGGGGATTCTGAACTAGAAAACACAACGAACGAGAAACCTTCAGGGTCCAAAACCTTCCTTACCTTCAAAGTTGGTTGCTTGTACCCCTATTTTAGCCCTTAAACTAGTTTTTATAAACTTGCTTTTATAGTTAATTGTTAGGTACATCATCCCAGTTGTAAGTTCCTTGAAACAGATGATTTCTTTTTCATTGCTCTGATCATAAAAGGCCCCCAAATAAATAATTATTCAGTAAATATTTAGTGAACATGTCAGTCACTTTCCTAAGGTACAAAGGATATGCAGATGATTAAAACACCTTCTCTGCCTTCAGGGACCTCAGTCTAGTGAGAGTGGTCAATAGGTAGAGTTAATCACAGTGCAGAGCTGTGATAAAATGCCCTAGAAGCACATAGGAGGAACACAGGACGCAATATTTGAAGAACAGGATAGCTTTCCAGAAGAGGTGACATCTCCAATGAGAACTAAAGGACAAATGTAGTTAGCTAGGCAAGGGACTGGTGATGTGTGGTGGCCTGCAACTTTTGCTCTCTGGTGGCGGGGAGCAAGATGGGAAGATCCAGGAGCATCCAAAGCCTGTTCTTCTTATAATCTTTATCTTTGAAGATCTTCAGCCATTTGTGTACCTCACCTCATTGTGCTTTCCCTCCCCGGGAGAAAGCAGGGATCCTGAAATCCTGTCGTGTTAGCGCACTTGATAATAAAAAAATAATTTCCAAATAAGATTGGTGTTTTTCTGATCATAAAAGTAACATTGAGTAAATATAACATTTACTCAACTCAATATAACATTCTGTACTCCAGACAATATAGAAAGTTATAAAGTAGAAAGTAAAATCTTCCCATAATCTCACTACTACAGCCAACCACCGTTAAGGAGAATATCTTCCCAGCTTCTTTTGTGAAGAGATTCACACATGGATTTCTTCTTCCAGCGAAGAATGGGATGTGGTTCAAGGTCTTGTCTGGGCTAGTCTCACTTTCTATACTTATAGGAAGGAAGCCAATAAATCAAATATTTATTGTGGGTGATGAGGGTTTCAAATTCCTGGCACAGCAATGAAAGGACTTCAGGGTTTGCTTGGCCTGGTGTGAATGTGGAGTCAGTGAATGGGGCAGAGGTGTCTGCTAGCTCACCTTCACTGCCCTAAGTTTTATAGACGTACTTTGGTGGCTGCAGATTCAATCCATGCCCTGAAAAGGCAGCCCAGGTCAGAGAATGATATGCTAAGGTGCTCTCCTCTGCTCGCTTTCTCATTTCCTCTGTGCATACTGCTTGGGGGAAATGTTTGTTTGTTCCAAACATCTCCCCCTCCCAACTTTGAGAGTAAAAGACTCGTTAAGCCCTGCACACTTGCATGCAGGCCAAGTGCACTGTGTTCTTGGAGCACTATACTATTCTTAGAGCTCTATATGTGGTGTTCTATACAGTTGGCTTTTTGCTGGAGGGGAAGGCAGATTTAATATGTGATAGCTGCCTTGGATGGCTACCAAATGTGCTCCAAGCAATCCCAAGCAGCAGGCCTTCTTTTTTTTCCCCCTGAGAGGCGGTGCTGTGATCTCTGCCCTTGGCCTGGACAACATCCAAGGCAAAGGGAATTTTTGCAAATGAGTCCGCAATGACCCACAAGCTTGGGGCAGTATAGCCAGCTGGATCTGTTCCAGCTTTGATTTCTGTGGCACAGGAGAACGCCCTCTACCCTTTGCACTGGCCTGACATTGCTATCTGAGGCATTTGAAAGTGTCTCCAAAGCATTCTCTAATTCTTGAAGCATGTAATAATGTGAAGATCCCTGTAAAGGAACCTAATCTGAAAGACAAGGGCACAGCTGACAACTGATACTGCTCACTTGTGCATGGGTGTAGCTGTAGCCAAAGACCAGGAGCAATGGGGGAGGAGAACTCTCTAGAGGGTGTTGACTACAGAGGCCACACTCATAAGCATTTATTACATGTCTAGCAGCCTTTACTGTGCAACAAAGCCCTTGAGATAGATGCTGCACCACTTCTAAATCACCTCACATTGTTTATGACTACACTTGCTGAAAAGCTACTTAGTTAAGCAGCAAACACTGGAGCCCTCCTGTGTGCCAGCCAATGCTATTCACAAGAGAACCAGGAGATGTAGTTGTTAACAACTACCCTTTCGTGGACACTTACTGTGTGTCAGACACTGTGCTGAGGGCTTTACCTGCATCATGGCAGTTAATCTTTACAACCACCATGGTTATTCCCATTTTCTAGATAGGAAAATGGAGGCACCAAAGGGCTAACTAACTTGCCACAGGTCACCACAGGTACTAAGCCCACAGTGGAACCCAGGCAGTCTGACTCCAGTGAGTATGCTGTTCTCCATGCTATTAGTGCCCCTGAGATGTCTACCTCGAGGATAGCACAATGTAGCTCAGAAGACAGGCAGCCCCAAACGAACAACTGCCCCCATAGACTTTATTATTTCAATACCATCTTCTTTCTTCTATAGACTCAGGGAAAGAGGTGTCCCTCTTTGTCACTAAATTATTGCCTGTAGTGGTCTGTCCTCTGCATCCCAATTGGGAACTGGCTCTCCGCCCACCCTCTTCAAGTGCTTCCTTGATTCCTTCCCTTGTTTCTGTATTTCCTTATCTCAGCTTCTTAAATGATGATCTGTAAGCATCTCCACCCCACTGGTGCTCCTTCATTCTTTAAACCTGGCTCCTATCTCTAACTCTCTACTGAAACTCATTTCTCAAAGTTCATCTATAACCTTTTTGTGGCCGAGATCCAAGAGACTTTCTCAGTTCTTGTTTCCATGGCTTCACCACTACGTTTTACTCTGAGAATCTTTGCTTCCCAAAATAGCCAGCTTTCCTCCTACCTCTACAACTGTTCATGCTCTTTTTCTGACCATCTCTTTCTCCAAGCTCCTTCAAAGGAGTCTGTCTGCTCTTCTCTCCTTGGGTTAGGTTCTGGGGAATGGGGGGCGGGGGGAGAGGCTGGGTCATTGTCCTACTTTCACCTCTAAGATTACATTTTTC